GGTAGAGGTAACTGGTTTTGAACTGACAAAACCGGTTTGAATTGAGCAAAAGGTCCCTTTGGTCTGGACAGAAAAAGTACAACTGGATTTTTTTTTTTCCCGTGGATCAAGTCGTACGCTCAGTACAGATCCTTTTAGATCACGCGGGCTCCTATAACGTCACCCGGTGAAACACATAAACAAAACCAGGGGAACTGTGTTTGGCTTCCACGTGCAGACCGTGGAAACCTCTGGCAGCCACACTGAGGCACGCCTCTGTGGGGAGAGTTTCGTAAAACCCTTCCCTCGCCTAAAGCTCACCCGAAGTGGTCATTGCCGTGCACTGCACAAAATTGCTGAGAGTTTTGACTGGAGGGCCTTCACCAAATTAGAACTTTAAGGAGTTGAAGAACATTAAATGCCACCTGTGATGGTGGAAACTCACCGTTCAGTTGCTGCAGTGAAGACACTTGAACTCTGTGGGAACTGCAGTTGATGATCTTCACGGTTCCCCGGGCGCGCGGGAGCTCTCTGCAGTAGGTGTGCAGGGCTGGCTGGCTTTGTCCTGGCCGAGCGGGGCTGCTCGGCCGTCGAGTCGCCAAGGGCAATGCTTAGCATCCAGAAGTGAGGGGCGCCTTTTAGTCGTGCTGGTGTCTCTTGTTCAGGTGGAGGTTCTTGGAGCGCACCTGAAATAGCGGAAGCCCTGTTGTTTTTTTTTTCTTTCAAGCACAGTAATGGCAGTATGTGCCTTTGTGCTGTCAGTTAGGGGCTAAACCAGATGCTAGGGCTCCCTCTTCTCCTTCCCATACTTTTACTCGGGGAGATTCAAACAATCGAGCCGCCCCTGAGGGCCGTGCTGCAATCACAGGGTCAGCTCAGAGAATAGGAGAAGATCCATTTTCCATTGCTGGTGTTTGAACCGAGTCTCTTCTTACCCCTGTATGCCCGTCTCCTGCTAATGGGAGCAGTCGTGTCACCTAACATCTGTTTGTCTCTTCTTTTTTCTCCTCCTCTTCTTGTCTTTATCTTCCTGCATTGGTTCTTGTTTGCTCTTGTTCCAAGATTGATTTGGACTCCTCCTGGTTCTTTATTCCTCCCCTCCAGAACACCCGTAAAGTGGCTTCCTTTGGCTTCCTTGTGTATCTGATAAGGTCAGAGGTGTCCATGTCTGACATTTGAGACTTAACTTGCGTAATGGAATTAATACACCTGTAGAAGTGAATGTGAACTTGGAACGGTTTAGTATTTGTTCCTTTTCCTGAGGGGTCACCTTGTCTTTATCTTCCTGCATTGGTTCTTGTTTGCTCTTGTTCCAAGATTGATTTGGACTCCTCCTGGTTCTTTATTCCTCCCCTCCAGAACACCTGTAAAGTGGCTTCCTTTGGCTTCCTTGTGCATCTGATAAGGTCAGAGGTGTCCGTGTCTGACATTTGAGACTTAACTTCCGTAATGGAATTAATACGCCTGTAGAAGTGAATGTGAACTTGGAACGATTTAGTATTTGTTCCTTTTCCTGAGGGGTCACAGAGGATGGCTGTCTGTCAGCAATGCTCGGAAAATGATTCGTCTCCCCGTCCTTCCCAGTTTGGTGGTGCTTGTGGCAAAACTGCTGAATCTCCTCTCATTTGTATCATCTGAGGGCTGCCTGTAAGAGATTTTGGCTTGTGTAGTTTTACCTCCTGCCTTTCAACTGCTGAAACTCTGCTGCTGTACAGAGGAAAAACGGAAGATGTAATTTGTCTTTGTCAAGGGAGCTTTTAAGCACCAGTCTGCAGGTGCGGAGCTGAAGTAGACAACTGAGAACTTGCCGAGAAGTTACTTTTCAGCTGTGAGTGGGGCGGCTGAGAACCTCTACTCAATGTGCCCTGTCTTCATCTCTCTGTGCAGCCCAGCACGCTAGCCTTCAAAAGCGTTCTGCGGTGTGCGTTCCGAGTGTCTCACCAGGGCTCTGGATATTTAATTTTTCCTTTGCTGTTGTTGTTTTTGTTTGGAATTAACCAAAGTTCTTAATTACATCAGTCCCCGTTGATCTTTTAAGTATCTGCCCCACCTATGATCGAGCATTGATTTGAAAAATAACAGAGACGTCTGAACTAGTACAAGCTTTCTAAAAACCTAATACTCTGTATTTAAGATATTAAATGCAGATTATTTTATTGTAAAGGTGATTACAAGCATAGAACTTAACAGCTGAACTTCCACCCAAATTGTCATAAACCAAATTTCCATCTGCTAAAAAGTATTTTTTGAAATGGCATGTTGCTAATGATAGCAAAACTAATGCAGTTAATGAATTGCTGCTAAATTTATGGTGAGAAATTTTGTAGTTCTGTCTCTTAAAACTCCAGAAATCCTTTGGAATACATCCCCCCAGTGAGAACAGAATATAAATGAAAGTCACCATTTTTATATGGAGGTCACTTGTCGGCCAAGGCGCAATCACTTTATAGGATTTTAAGGGTTTAGTTTAAGAGTTTTTAAATGGAGCCAAGTGTAATGCTGTGTAGTTCTCAGAGGGAAAACCTCATACCATTCAAACCCACGTTTTACGTCTTCCATGGTAAAATAACATTTCTAGATCAAAGCTTGCCCAAGGTACTGAAATAGGACTTTTAACTGAAAAGTTTGCAGAAGACTTCTTAGTGTTCTAGCAGCAGATGCTAACTCCCTCTGCAAACAAAGCTTTAGCAAAAAAAAAGAGGCATTTTCGTGTAGTGTTTATGTTCTGATGAAATTCCTTTTCTCCAAGTGAAAAATGGTTCTGTTGAACTTTCTAGCTGCTTCTGCTGGTCACGAACTGAGGTAGTGAGGTTATACCACCTAGTAGGGCTATCTGCAACTTTAGGGATTATGAATGTACTTATATTTCGTGGTCTTCCGTATGTTTTGTAGTTTAAATGGAAACCGTAGTATGTGCGGTTTTTGTTTTGTTTTTTAACCTTTCCAGCATTATCCATGTTTGGGACAACGGTTGGTCTGTACGGGATACCCTGGTGTAAGAAATCCCTGCTGTTAACTGCCCTGATGTCGGTTATTGGAGCTTCCATGGGAATTCTAGACACAGGTAAGGGACCACGTGGTCCGATAGTTCCTTCACCAAACTAACTGGAAACTTCATCCTCACCAAACCTGTTGCTGGTGTTTCATGTGACACACCTTGGATTAAAAGAGGGGAGCTGTTTCACCTGGCCAGGATTCTTGGATTATCCTGGTCTCGAGACTTGCAGTGTTTGTAACAGACCTTTCTTGAGGGGCTTGGGGTGCTGGATATCTCTTGCTTCCTGGAGAAGATCAATGTGCATTTCAGCGGGCAATTAACAGTCAGGAAAAAAGTGTCACGTGCTCTTTAGGCAGTGTTTTCTTTAAGCTACTGGTCTCCAGGAAGCTACTGGGGTTATGGTTCATTAGGGCCAGCGGGAGCTAAGTTAGTCCTGAGCAAGCCCTGGTGTTTGAGAGGGAGATTCTCACAGTTGCCGTGTTGGAGAGTTGCCTGCCCAGGGCTGGCTGGGCGGCATTTGGGGATTCACAGCAGACACTTACTGCCACAGCTCACTTAACAGCACCACGGCATCCATCTCCCTGAACCCAGGGGTGTTTGCTGCCCTTGGCCAGCCTCGCTTAGGTGTTTGCCGATACAAATATACTCTGTCCCCCACGTTGTAAGTCTGTGGCACCTGCGTACTGCAAATGGCCTGGGAAAAAACCCCACCACTTTGCTGGAAAGCTGTTCAAAACCAGTTTCTTAGTAGAGGCTCCTTGGAGGAGGATGTACCAGTGAAGCTGCAGAGCAGACGTCTGTCTACAGGTGCGGTTGGAAAGGTGTGGTTTAACCCCAGCCGGCAGCTAAGCCCCAGCAGCTGCTCGCTCACTCCCCCAGTGGGATGAGGGAGAGAATCAGAAGGGTAGAAGTGAGAAAACTCGTGGGTTGAGATAAAGACAGTTCAATACATAAAGCAAAACCCGCAGGCACAAGCAAAGCAAACCAAGGAATCCATTCAGCACTGCCCATGGGCAGGCAGGTGCTCAGCCATCCCCAGGGAAGCAGGGCTCCACCACGCGTAACGGGTACTTAGGAAGCCACCACTCCAAACGTCCCCCCGTCCTTCTTCTTCCCCCAGCTTTATGTGCTGAGCTTGACATTCTGTGGTGTGGAATGTCCCTTGGCCAGTCGGGGTCAGATGTCCCGGCCGTGTCCCCTCCCAACTCCTTGTGCACCCCCAGCCTGCTCGCTGGTGGGGTGGGGTGGGGAGCACAAAAGGCCTTGACTCTGTGTGAGCCCTGCTCAGCAGTAACGAAAACATCTCTGCCTTATCAACGCTGTTTTCAGCACCAATCCAAAACATAGTCTCGTATCAGCTACTATGGAAAAAAATTAACTCCATCCCAGCCAAAACCAGCACAAAAGGTCAGTTACACCAGAGGTATGAAAAGGAGCTCCCACAGAAGTCAGTTCGTTGGACACGGCTTGGAAAGGGTGAGTTGGTGACGGCTGGCTGTAGCAGGCAGCTTGGATCAGGAGGCAAGGCCTCAGCAAGAGACCTAAGCACGCGTGGAGCGACACTGGCGTACTTGCAGCTGGGGATCAGGAAACAACCAAAAATACGTCAGCAGTGCAGCGTTATGGTGTTGCTGTAGAAGGTGGCGGTGACGCCGCAACAGGCGGCCGCTCACCTGGTACCTCTCCCCAGTGTCCCAGCAGCGTGCCGACTTCCCTGGCTTACTGAGGGAGCCTGTGGGTACTTCCTAGCCAGGAAGGTACTACTGGGTCTGGTTGACCAGCTCAGGGCAGGCTTACTTCTGAGAAGGAGCTGGCTAGTGGATTAGCCTAGCTATGCAGACAGCTCTGGAAGCATCCCGGCCAGGGCCTGGCATGGGTGGCTTGGCTGGTAGACCACCCAGAGGAACAGCGGGTGCACATGTGAGCCCTCTGCCGTAATTCTGCAGAGTCTGAGGGAGCTCTGTGAGCACTAAAAAAGAGCACGATACAGGGCCTGGCAGTGAAAAAGATGGGTTTGCATGGCACAGGTTATGCTAAATAACCTGAGTGCAGAGGTACTGAAGAGAGTCCAGCGGAGGGCTACGAAGATGGTGAGGGGGCTGGAGCATCTCTCCTGCGAGGAGACGCTGAGAGACGTGGGGCTGTTTAGCCTGGAGAAGACTGAGAGGGGACCTTATCAACGCTTACAAATTTCTAAAGGGTGAGTGTCAAGAGGATGGGGCCAGGCTCTTTTCAGTGGTGCCCAGTGACAGGACAAGGGGCAACAGGCACAAGCTGGAGCATGGGAAGTTCCTCTTGAACATGAGGAGGAACTTCTTCACTCTGAGGGTGGCACAGCACTGGAACAGGCTGCCCAGGGAAGTTGTGGAGTCTCCTGTGGAGATATTCAGAACCTGCCTGGATGCAGACCTGTGTGACCTGCTCTAGGTGAACCTGCTTTGGCAGGGGGGTTGGACTAGATGATCTCCTGCCAGTCTGTGATTCTGTGCGTTTGCTGCCTCTCTAGGATTGTTATACATGGCACGTGGTTCAAAAATTCTTCATAGGGGAAAATCCTGTGGGCTAGTTGTACACATGCCTTCAGTGGGTGGGCGTGCTGCTTGGAAGTCAGACCTCTGAGGCAGGGAGACTTCCCAGCCTGAGCAGGAGTAGCAGGAGAAACTGCAGGCAAGGCAGTAGAGTGTAACTGAATTCACGTGGAAGAGCCTGCGTGCCGAGTGACAAGGGCTGCTGTACTGTGGTGCAGGGATTTGATTACTGTTGTTATTTTCCTGCATTCTTCTCTGGGACTACTTAAAAACGTCTCTGTCGGATCTTATTTTCTAGCATTATTGTTGATCTGAGGGTGTTGTAGTTTGGTCTCTGCAGCGGTATTGTGGTAAACCTTTCCGCTTCTGGCAAGTCATCTGAATGCCGTCGGGGGAGTCCCAGCCCATCAGAAGCACCTGACGTTTCCTGGGAAGTTGTTTAATGAGGCCTCTGATTCTTAGCGTTGTGCATTGTTGCTAATACTTTTAGAGAAATGAGAAGCAGTTAAATTTGCTGTTTTGAGGAAAGGCTGAAAAAATGGCAACTAGGGTAATTAAGTACAGCTGCAGCTGCTGGGCTAAGCCCCTACACGGCTTTGCATTTTGCCGGCTGTGAACACCCTCCTACAGCTGAAGCAATCACGGGTTTAAGGTGCTTAGAGGCAAAATTTCAGTTAACTACAATTTTGCACATTGTATTTGCTAAACCTGGTGGTGTTGCAAATGGAATTAGTAATACAGGTTATGGCTTGGTTTGGTTTGTCTTTTTTTTTTTTGTCTTTAAAACCCTCCCTGGTTTCAGACTAAAATGACTGAATCCTCCTCTCTCCGACCTGCAGGTGGCAATGTGCTGGTACTTAACACCTGGGGGGCAGAGGCGGGGCCGCACATGCAGGCCTTGCACTTCAGTTTTGCCGTCGGTGCGTTTGTGGCCCCGATCCTGGCCAAAATGGCCTTGGGAGGCTCCGAACCGAAAGACCCTCCGGTAGCTGAAAAGACAAACCAGTCTGTCCCGAGGTCTGTGCCGACAGCATCAGCTGCCTCAGCGACGTCAGCGCTGAAACACCATCTTGGTGCAGACTTTTTGTGGTCCTATGTTGTCATAGGGACCTATCTGCTGTTCGTTTCCTTCTTCTTTTTTATTTTGTATTCGAAGGGCAGCTCAGCTCGAGACAAATCGAAGGCTTCTCTGCACAAGTGCGTGCTTGCCAGATACCACTATGCTCTTATTATTCTCCTGTTCACATTCTTCTTCTTCTACGTGGGAGCGGAGGTCACGTACGGCTCTTACATATTTACTTACGCGAAGGTCTTTGCCGAGATGAAGGAAAGCGAAGCAGCCGCCTTGAACTCTGTCTTCTGGGGCGCGTTTGCCGCTTGCAGAGGCGTGGCAATATTCTGCGCTGCTTGCCTGTACCCTGGCACCATGATCCTGCTGAGCATCGTCGGCTCCGCCGCCTCCTCTTCGTGCTTGGCCTTCTTCGCGCGGCACCAAGCCTCGCTGTGGGCGGGAACCGCCGTGTACGGCGCGTCGATGGCCACCATCTTTCCCAGCGGCATCTCCTGGATAGAGCAGTACACGGTCGTGCAAGGGAAATCGGCTTCTCTCTTCGTGATCGGCGCCGCGCTGGGCGAGATGTGCATCCCTGCCGTGGTGGGGTACCTGCAGGGCAGGTTTCACCACGTTCCCGTGATTATGTACACTGCCCTGGTGACCTCTGCGATGACAGTTCTGCTCTTCCCGCTGATGTACAAACTGGCCAACGCTCCCGGCGAGAGCGACTCGAAAGAAGTGAGTGAGAGCGAGGACCGGAAGGCTTTGTTGTCCAACTCGAGGCTTAATGAGGATGAAGAGGACGAAGAGGATGCGGGAGAGTGGAACGAAGCGGACTTTGAGGTCATAGAAATGAATGACACGCTGAGAAACTCTGTGATCGAGACCTCCCGTAAGATACCAGGGGACTCGCCGGCCAAAGCCTCGCTCCAGCACCACCTGGGTGATGTCTTGCATGATTCTCCAGTGGTTGCTGGTGGCTCCCCTGGGAGGAAAAATGTGAATGTCGACCGGGAGAAGAACGATTAAAGCAGAAGCTGACTTTGTTTTTTGTAAAGGGAAATGCAATTGAATTGTAGCTGTTCTCGTAAAGTGGTTCAAGAATCCTTCTGTAGCGGCGCAGAGCCCAGCGGGATCATTTCGGCGTTTGTCCGGCCCTGTCTCCCATTTTCGGTCTGCAGCGATGGGTCTCCGAGCGGGGAGGTCCACGATGACGTGAACAGGGTAACGTGACAAAACGTATAGACGATACTGAAAATGTTAAAACATAAAGGAGACGTTTTCCAAGTGTGAGGCATGCGTTTCAGTGGTATATGCTGTACTAACCAGGAAAGAAAGGGACTGCTCAGACCACTCAGCTTCTTGGGGTGGGTGGAGGGTGCAGTTCCAAGGTGCTCGGTCACAAAATGTGTTCACAAGAGAGGCGAGAAATCTGTGACCTGCGATGCTGAACTTTTTTACAGAGGAATGTTTCTGCTGCATTGAAAGTTTGTGTGACGTAAACCAGTAAATCAGGTCGAATTTCAGGTGAAGCCTGGTGGCTGTCAGTCAAGAGGCCTGGTGGCAAGCTGTATCATTTCCTGGGTCTGTCACTAAGACGGGCAGAAATTTAAAATTAATTTTTTGGAGTGGAACCATGCCTATGGGTTGTTTAAAAGTGGCATATGGGAAGGGGGACAGAATGGATTGTGTTAATCTGCTCTAATGCTTAACTCTGATTTACGAGTCAGACAGTGGTGAGAAATCTAAAGAGCCTGAAGTACCTGTGATTTTAATTACTGCACCACTACTGAAATCAAGAAATGTTTGAAGAAGATGACAAAATTAGATCTAAACAGATTACTTAATATATGGTATTGACATAGGGATGGGATATTTTTAAGCCTGTTGTTTAAATTAAGGTTGTAACAACTCTGGCTTCCTGTGCCAAGACTTTATCACAGTGATGTGCTAAAATGGAAACCGGGGGCGGGGCGGGCATTGCCGATGGGACGCTCCTTTCGGGTTGTACCGCACAGTCGCTCGCCCCGTGCCAGCTGGGTTGGTGCCACGCGGGTGGTGTTGCCTCGGGCGATGACTCACGGGCAGCTCTTCCTCGGGAGCCGCGGGGGGCTGTATCTGTAGGCTCACGGCTGCTAAGCAGCAGGTGCCAGCGAGCCCTCCCCAGCAAGAGCAAAAAAGCCAGTGGCTGATGGCAAACTCTGAAAGGGTGATCCTGCAGCTTGTCTACTTGAAACTCTGAATTTGTAGTTTGAGTATTTTTTTTTAAGGCTGGACTGATCAGAATGAGCTCATGTTTGGTGGTTTTTTTTTTATTTTGCACTTTTGTTAGGTTTTTTTTTTTCCTTGCTAAGAAGTTTAATTTACTAACTGTAAGAAGAGCTGTAGGTGTAACCCAGCACAGAACCTTGGATGTTCAGCGTATTTTCAGGTCTGGTTTTGTTCCCTTTCTTGTCCTCCGAGTGTGCAACCTTGAACCTCGTGGCTTTTTCCTTTCTTCTGAGAAGCTGGTAAGAAGCGGGAGTCAACTTACAGTGAAAATGCATCATTTTTTTCCATCTTGCCATGCCAGAGGGCCTCCCTCTCCCTCCGCTGTCGGCACTGCAGCGCCATTGTGGGTTTTTCTGGGTTCCTCTTTTCCTTGTGTGTGCACGTTGCACTTCCGTGGCATCTTCCCCAGTGCAATGCATGAACCTGCACTTTAAAATATGGCCTGGTTTCACTGCCTGCACGAGGGTTCCCCTCTTCGCTGAAGGGAGTCATGACAAACACTTTTAAGTATCATCAGGCCAAATCCTGTTCGCGGTCCGTGTGCCACCATTTGCTCGACGGGAGTGAAGTGGGTGTGGGCTGGCGTGTTTGCCTGGTGTGACACGGCAACAGCCGGCGTGCTGGGGCAGAGGTGGGGGGGACTGAACGGCGGGCGGATTACGCCGGTGTTTCTACAGCTCCCCTTTCCCCTCCTGCACGCTACAGTAACTGCCCTGGGGCTGTGTGGAAAGTTGGGGCTGTTACCTGAGGGCAAGGACAGCCCGGGGGGTTGGGGGGGGGGGGAGGTGACAACTGCCTCTGCTCTGGTTTTGCAGGAGTTTCCACACCCCCACCCCTACCCTCCCTCCGAAGGTCCCAGGTTTCCTTTAGCAGAGCCTCAGTTCGGTGCAGGACAGCCAGCAGAAAACGGGGAGCTGGTTCTGCGGCAGCTCCCGCTGTAACTGCAGTCCAGAGGCTTTACCTCAGCTGGCGGCGGTGTAGAAAAGTGTCGTGTCCCCCCCACCTGAGATCATGTTGCCAGGAGAAAATGAGTTTAAGAAACACGCCTGGCAAGCAAGATTTAAAATAATCCCCCCAAGTCATACGCTGATTTTTGGAATGAAGTTCAGATTGGAATGTCCTGCATGGAAGATTGTGCTCAGGGATAGCGAACACCTCTGGCATAGTCCAGTACTAAAAACCAGAAAAATGAAATTAAAGCCAGATATTAGGAAATGTGCTCTAACCTCATTGAAACTTAGCTGCTTATTGCATATATGTATGTATGTATGTATGTATACATACACAGTTACTTGTGTTGCTGTCTTCCCAACGAATGTAAAAATACTGTGCAAAACAAAGGTGTTTTTTTTTTTTAACTGGCTGTATTAATTCCTGCACGAGTCACTTGAATTGATCCCCATTTCGCCCCTTAAAGGCAGGGGCCAAGGAGGAGGAATGGAGCAACAGCCTGGAATGCCATGGTGAGAGCAGCCTTTTACAGAAGGTGAAGGAACCAAAAGCCAGTGGCAGGCGGCCAGACCAGAACTCGCATGGTTACCTTGGGCGGTACCAGGTAGAAGCACGTCCAGTTGATGTGTGGGTGACATCTAAGTTTTGAGGCATCTTAGTGAGCACTTGGAGCCCTCAGTGTTTTAGTTCTGGCCTCAACCTTGGAATGGAATCTACTTAACAGAATTCTCCCTAAAAGCGTGCTTTTCATAGCAGGGGTTGCCCTTTAATGAAAATGAAACGTTTAAAGCAATTCAAGATTAAAACAGATCGAGGGCATTTCCAACAATGAGTCCAGCTCACAGCAGGTCTAGAAATCTGTGGTGTTCAAGGCTGTAGCTTTCCTAGTTCTCGGATGGTGGTGTTCCTCAAGGCTTGGCTTTAGACAGTGAATGTTAGTTTTTACCTGCTTAAATTTCCTCCCAAAGTGAATTGCTTCCTGGTGTACCAGGCGTACTGGTTCCTACTGGAGTGCTGCATCCAGCTCTGAGGCCCCCGGCACAGGAAAGACACAGACCTGCTCGAGCAGGTCCAGAGGAGGGTCACGGTCAGGGGGCTGGAGCACCGCCCCTGTGAAGACAGACTGAGACAGTTGGGGTTGTTCAGCCTGGAGAAGGGAAGGCTCTGGGGAGACCTCACAGCAGCCTTCCAGTGCTTAAAGGGGGCCTGCAGGAAAGGTGGGGAGGGACTCTTGATCAGGGAGTGTGGTGATAGGATGAGGGGTAACGGTTTCAAACTGAAAGAGCGGAGATTTAGATTAGATATTAGGAAGAAATTCTTCACTGTGAGGGTGGTGAGACACTGGCACAGGTTGCCCAGAGAAGCCGTGGCTGCCCCCTCCCTGGCAGTGTTCAAGGCCAGGCTGGATGGGGTTGGGGCAACCTGGTCTGGTGGAAGGTGTCCCTGCCCATGGCAGGGGGGTTGGAACTAGGTGGTCTTTAAGGTCCCATTCTGTGGTTCTAGGTACAATTGCAGTTATGGTGCCTTTTAAGTTACAGATACTCCAGAAAGCCTGAACACTAAACGTTAATGTTGTGGGGTGAAATGACTTGAAGTCAACTGCATTACTTTACCCCTGCCTTGCTTATGCTGAAATGTCACCTCTGTGCTGAGGCCCACGGATGAGATGAGATACCTGAATTTAGTAGGAATCCTTTTTTTGTCTGTGAAGCCAGGACGGAGTTGAGATGAGCACTTGCCTGTTTACTCCGGTGTTAAAGGCAACCTCTTGCAGTTAAATGTCATTTAATATTTTTATTTATCCCTGAAGCGCTGCCAAGCGCTGGAACGAGCGGTAATGGGTGGTCCTGGCACTTGCACTTTCATTCTGTACAGGAGGAATGCCAGAACGCCAGAGCAGCAGAGTTTTGTGCCTTGATGATTTGGTTTTATTTTTTCAGTTTGCATAAAAGCGCGTCGCAGTCCGTGGCTGTTCTGTTAGATACGTGATGATAGTTTTTATTCTGCTCGGTGTGGGTATACATTGCACGGCACAATGTGAAATTTAATAGACTGACTTGGATCTTGAATGTAATAAATTCTGAACTGGAGAAGGCACTCGGGTTCCTTGATGTAAATAAAGTTTTGTTCTATTTTTCAAAGCTATGCTGGACTTTACCTTTAAAACGCCCTCCTGTTTTGACTAGCTGAAAAACGGAACTGTTTCTCCTCTGGTTTGGGGGGGGCCTCCAGGGATCGATATCGAGGTTTTAGATCCCAAAGCTTAAGCTGGAACCTGAATTGTGGATTCTTCACTCTCACTTGAGCAGTCCTGTCTGCTTCGCTCTTTGTGTTCCAAACGAGGGAAACAAAGGGGTCTGCAATTGAGGGCAGGCATGAAAAAAGCATATAATTTTTACCATATCATTTTATTCAACTTTAATATGGTTTCCATTATTAACTTCTAAAACAAAATGATTTCCAGTTTAGAAAACAATGCACTGACCACATAATTCCTTTTCCATTTTATACAGTTATACAAATATTCTAAATACACATTTTGTCAAGATGGTGGCAAATAAGATTTAACTGTACAGTACGTAAGGAAAGAAAATATTTTAAGCATATTTAGAAGCAATAGAAATGTCTATACAAAACAAGCAAAAATGGAATAAAATTTTATATTTAAAGTATTGCAACAGTCCCACAGGTTTGTAACAAAAATGTCTTTGCACAGTTCCTCACAATGCCCCATTAATAGCTAAAGCAAGACAGCAATTTTTAGAAAATAATGTTTCAAAATGCTACACGTGATACTACTGCTTGCA